AGACCAGCCCTGCCAGCAACTCCCGAGAGAGGCAGCCAAGGGCAGACCCGATGCCAGAGTCCTTGAGCTGTCAGTTCCCACAGTTGCTCCTTTGTTTGCTAGTCTCAGCACGGGCCAGATTTACAGTCTAGGTGGCAAAGTCTCAAGGCCTGGGGCTCAGCATAGTGATGGGTGGGGGTGAAGAAGAAATATTGGCGGGGATAGGGGCAGGGCAGTGACAGGAGAGAGGGACAGGGCAGGGTTGGGGACAGGTTGTGTGTCTATGGTTGGAGGGGGTGTGGCAGGGTGGGGAAGCTTGGGTTATGTGGGGAGAGGAGACTGAGGAATGATTTAGCTCCAGATTACTTGGTTATGAAGGACAATAAATTTAAGAAAAATTTTGCTTTATTAGTTGGTTTTGCTGCTCTCCTTGAGGATACTTGCAAGGAAAATTGAGCTGTTATAAACCGGATGAATGATGTGTTTGGCCATTTCTGTCCTACCTCCAGACCCTCTGCTGGTGTTGTGTGTAGGTCAAGGCCCACCGAAGCCTGATGGTGACAGGCCCTTGTTTAGTGCTGTCACATGGGCTTCTTTAAGGTCTTAAAAGCATCCATAAGCCACCATGATTGGAGCCAAGCTTTCCTCCGTCCAATCACCATTTCTCCTGGGGGCTTCTAGAGCCTCAGCCAGTAGTACCATTAGGTTTCATTTCAATTTTTATTTGTTTTTCCTGGAGAAACATAAGATTTGCAGGGGACTGAGTGCAGTCGTTACTGGGGGTGCTTGGTTCCTGGTAGTGGATGTGTGCCTTGGGAAACGACATACCATTGTTAATGACATCGTCATCGCTACTAGGCAGACACATTAGGTGGTGCAATCCATGTAGTAGTAATGAACTTTTCTGGGAAATGATGGTTTTTTGGACACATTTTGTTTGCCATTAAAACAAACAAACAAACAAAACCAAACAAAAACCTGGAAAAAGCTGCCTTTTTTGAATTTTTTCAGCTTTGGGTTTATTTTGGCCCAAATTTCTCAGTATCTGCCTAAAATCCCAATATACATGTATTTTTATTCAGACTTAGTTTTTTAGATTTAAAAGCTTATGGCAGCATTTTAGATAATAACTTTACAGTTAGTGATGGTGGGCAGGTAAGGGAGGGAAGAGGCCTCAATCCGATTTGATTAAAAGACTGAGTTTCCTATAAAAAACACTATGCAAGGTTTTCTAGCCTATTGTTTGAGGATTTGAGAGGATGCAGAAGCAACTTCCGTAAAGGAATTAAAGTTGGCAAAAACTAGCATAGAAATAAAGTACTTGATGTATTTATAAGATTTAAATGGTATCTTTTGGGGGACAATCAGCTTTGTATCTCATGAATATTTGAAATAAATAAATAAATAAATAAATAAGAAAATACATTCTCACTCTAAAATAAATAAATAAATAAATAAATAAATAAATAAATAAATAAATAAATNTTGCCGGACATGGAAAAAGACAAAAAGGAAAAAAAAAAAAAAAAAAAAGATACAGCTACTAAGCTATGTGACAGGCTCATTGTTTAACACGTTGCATATCCTAGACTTTAAGATGAATATTTTTTCACGTTTTAAGATCTCTAAAGTCAGGATGCATTGTATATTCCACGAAATGTGAAAAATCCTGTCTAATTCGCGCAGATCTATGACTTCCTTACTATACGTATCCTATTTTATAGATGAGAAAAATGAAGCTTCCAAGCGAGGAAGTAGCATGAGCAAAGACAGAGAGCTAGCAGGTGACAGAGTGTGGGAGACAGTCGAAGTTTGTCTGGCTTCTCCCTTGGGGACCACTTTGAGCAGGAGGAGGTGGAGCCCCCTGAAGTGAGAAATCAGGAAAGGGCAGAGTCTGGGGGGACATGGAGGCCCCGATGAGAACAAGGACTGGGAGCTGGAGAGCCCAGGGATCTAACCCTCGGTCCTGTGTTTCCCCCGTCACAGACGAGAAGCGCCGCCGCGTCCACGGTGGGGCCCCAGCTGGAGGGCCCAGAGCACCAGGCGCCCCTCACCTATTTCCCGTGGCCTCAGCCCCTTTCCACGCTGCCCACCTCCACCCTGCAGTACCAGCCTCCGGCCCCAGCCCTGCCTGGGCCCCAGTTTGTCCAGCTCCCCATCTCTATCCCCGAGCCAGTCCTTCAGGACATGGAAGACCCCAGGAGGGCCGTCAGTTCCCTGACCATCGACAAGCTGCTTTTGGAGGAGGAGGAGAGCGATGCCTACGCGCTCAACCACACTCTCTCTGTGGAAGGCTTCTAGCGCTGGCTCCCACCTGACAGTCCAGGTCCCCAGAACTGGAATTTACAAATGAGCCTGAACGCGAGCCCCTGATTCATATTTGTTTGGAGGAGTCGTTTCATAACTACACTTTCCTCCCCAGACCGAAATTGTAGACCCTTCCTTCCTTCTCTCCCTCCCTCTCTCCTTCTTTCTTCTTTCTTTTTTTAATTCTGTTTCTTTTTGGGAAGGGATTATAGAGATTTTAAGGATTACATTTTATACCCAAAGTTGCCAAGTCTGTGGCCGGGTGCTTTAATTTCTGTCCCCTTTCACTCCCCGGAGAAGGCCCCTTCTGTCCAGTGTCCACTGCTTCTCCCCAGTGCTCACTGCTGATGCATTTTAGGGCCAGCTACACCCTCTGTCATTGTGAGGTGCATGGGATGCCCTGCGGGAAGACCAGCCCTGCCAGCAACTCCCGAGAGAGGCAGCCAAGGGCAGACCCGATGCCAGAGTCCTTGAGCTGTCAGTTCCCA